TATTACAAATGTGTGTCCGTGTCAAACTTGGTAAGATACAGGACACGGAAGAAAGCTTAAAACAGAACACAACAAACCAAACCAAACCAAAAAAAACAACAACAAAAATGAAAGAAGAGCTAAGATAAGAAAACAATCGAATTTTCCAAGACGGCCATACATTGTCGAGAAGAAAAATGTGGACGTCTTGAACAGTGCTATTATAATACAATCAGAGACCTAACAATGTTTACATTGACAGGTCTCTGGTACAATTTTTAAAAATGCCTTGGGGGGGGGGGGGATTGTAAGTGGTCGTTTGTACAAGTACAGGTAGTTGCCTAGGACAGGTAGCCGTTAGAACATGTTCAACTGTACATGTTAATAGAGGAGCCTTTTTCACAGAAAAGTTCACACCACTCTGCCTTTTCGCACGTCAGCCAGTTACCCAGTACATTGTATCAGCTCGGAGCAGAGGCCGTGCTGCCCCAGGCTTCAAACTGCGGAAATTCCATCCATTGTAAACTCTCATTCTCTGTCCACAAAGGCACCCTTTCGCAATGCTGTCACGTATTATTGGCTAATACTTTGAGAAACAGCAAACTGACGAAACTGATATGGGCGTATTAAAATTCTCTCTCCATTATATCCCCCCCCCCTCCTTCCTTTTACAGTCCCACACGGCGTACATAATTATTTTCAGGTCCCGAACTTTTTTCTTATCATTATGTGTAATATGAGAATTTCTTTTCTCAACAGAAAGCCTGCGCAGTCGTGTTCGTAATAGTAACAAAGTCCCGTATTTATTTCTGTAAAACTAAACGCGCAGCATTGTTTTGAACAGTTGCCGTCTTTTCATTTTCTCACAAGATATTCATGATAACAAAAAGTTACAATAATCAAGTCTTGAGAAAACAAAGCTATTTACAAATCAGTACACAACCGAAATTGTTGAAGTCGGCCACACATTGTCGAGGAGAAAAAGTGGCCGTCTTAAGCTATAGTTCACAGTCTTACGCAGTGCCATTTAAAAAGTAAAAAAACACAACAACCCCAGGCAAATAAACAAACAAACAAACAAACAAACAAAACAGAAGGGGGAAATGGATCGTTGGTAAAGGTGATTGTTTTATAAAAGTGGCTGTTTAGTGCAGGTTCGTCTGTACTAAGCATTGATTAGATTATGTATTTTACTATTTTTTCTTATTAAATTTTTAGATATTAAAATATGCAACTGATCAGATGATTCACTTCGCATTGACAAATTGGAATCAAAACAGATGCCAACTTTTCTTGGAAATGCAATTTCCACATCACCAATTTTCATGGTCGTTGCCGACCT